ATTATAAAATATCTGCATAAACCCATTATAGTTAATAAGAAGAATAAAGGTCATATATATTAAAGGCTTCCTGTTTGCTGAGAAATATTTATAAAATCATTTCAGTCTTCATTAGACTACTATGAACCAGGTGTTTTTAAGGCCCTTTTATACAGCAAGAATTGAATAATCTATAAAGTTACGCAAGTAATAAGGAGCAGAAGTGGTCCCAAACTCTGAACTCAGTCTGGAGTCCAAGATCTCACCCCACAACTGCACAGCCATTCTTAAGCACAATAAGAATACCTACAAATTATGAATTCACATTGGGTGATTGAATCTCACTCTCATAAGTTCTGAATTTACACATTGAGATTGTCCTAGATTCATTACTGAGTACTCATGAAAGGGCATGGATTTTACAGTAAGCTGAATATAATCTTTTCCAAAGCTGAGTCAAACAGCCAGAAATTTCATCTGACATCTAGAATTCAAATATTTTGTCTCCAAAATTCCAAAGACACCATAAAAGGTTGTTGAACATTACTTTCATAATTCTTAATCAGTTCTTGAAAATGAACCATCTTGATAGGGGTAAAGGTGAGATCATTTAGATTCCTCCTAAGGTGGATTACTCCTGAAATAATGAACCCATTTCCACCATTCCATTCTTTAAAAGTGGTGATTTTCCATTTAGCTCAGCAAAATTCAGTCCAGGCTGAATTTGTTCAAATTTTACTTAGTCTATTCAAATCTGCTTATTCTGTTCAAATTTTGATACCTTTCTGAATCTATTTTTTCCTTTTGTGCAGTTGTAAGTAGCTCAGCATATTTTAATGTTGTGGGGCATCACTAAAGATTTTTCGTATTATAAATGAACTGGTTATCCCACCAGATAAGTCTGTGGGAGTTCTTTAAAGTCCTGAAAGTCTTCAACCTGAGGAAGTAGGTTAGTCAGTCTTCCTACTCTACTTCAATTTCCTCTAAATATCACACAAAAGAGACATGATAAGGACTCATGCACAAAAAAAAGTTAATTTTATTTCCTTTACTCTTGATTCATATTTTACAAAGTTCATAGTCAAAGTTCCACTGATAACTGCAAGGCAGTTTCTTATGTGCAAGGTAATGAGGTATCTATAGGCAACAAAAATGGATTTGACTGTGACTCTGTAACTATTTCAAAATACAAGTTATAAAATGGACTCCTTTTTCTCAGAAGGAGAGCATGGATGACACTCCTAGAGATCTGATGACATCTTTAGTATAAGGATCACTAATACAAAGTGGAAAACACAATTGAAAAAGACTTTCATTTTATTTTTCTCTCTTCTTTACTCTATGATCCTCATTATCCTCATTAATGATGCAATGAGACAAATGGATATTATTACTGAAAATGTCCAGGATTTTTCTGTACAGTAAAAAGTTGTTTCCACTTACTGCTTTCTGGTACTTCAATAGTAATAGTGACTTACCGATGTTTATCAGAACATTTAGATACTGTAGGATCTTGAAATGCTTCTGAATATCCAAAGACATGTTACGTTGAATAGGATCACAATGTTGAAGCATGTTTTCCCCAAATACTTTATTATGAAAATTTTCATATATACTGAAATGTTGAAATATCAGAATGGATACTAGTGTATTGCCCTAAATTTAATAATTGTTGACTGTTGCCATATTTTCTTTCTTCCTGTTTCCCCCCCACACATTATTTGCTGTTGTTCTGTAACTATTTAAAAAGAAGTTACTAATGTGATCTTCGTTACTATGTATTTTCCTGTATACTAATTCCATGAAACATAGTTCTTTATATATATAATATATAGTATTGTATCAATGTATAAAATATATGGTAATTAAATTATTTTTGTAAGTAGATGTTAATTTCCCACAAGGATATTTTATTAGCCAAAAAACAACTGTCTGAATATTACTTTATTTTTCATATTTCTGTCCTGACCACCAATGGGATATGGATTTCTCTGTAAGAGCTGGAGGTTTAGTCTGTCCTCCTATGGATAAATTAGAGTCTTTGTCTATCACACAGATATAAGTCTAATGAAATTCTTAACTTTCTTGAATGTGATATAACTTTTACTCCTGTTTAGATAAAATTCTGAAGGGAAAAATTGAAATTTATAGACAGTATTATGGGTGGAATTATGCCCTCCCTGAAAGAAGCATTGAAGTCTTAATCCTGAGTACTTAAGTTTGTGACCTTATGTAGAAATAGGGTTTTGTAGATATAATTAGTTAATTTAGTATGAGGTCATACTGGAATAGGGTGGGTTCATAACCCAATCACACCAGTGTCCTAAAAAGAAGAGGGAAATTTGGATATAGACAAAATGAGATAAGATGATATAAAGACACACAGGAGCTGACTGTGTGTGTCTTACAGAGTGATACATCTATAAACCAAGAAGTATGAAGCATGGCTGGCTACTGCCAGAAGCTTCGAGAGAGACATGAAAATTTTTCATGGTCAGTCCTCCGAGTGAACCAACCCTGCTCACACCTTGATTTCAGAATTTATCATCTAGAACTTTAAGATAATAAATTTTTTGTTATCTAAAGTCTTCCAGTTTATGGTGGGTTATTATGTCAGCTCTAGGATTCTCTTGAAGATAGATGATTGATAGATAAATACATAGATAGACAGTAATAGATGACAGATTGATATAGATAATATTTCAGACTTTTTAGATTTTGGTTTAGTCAGAAGTTAAGGATTTGAAGAATTATTCTATAAAGTAGTCTTAAGGTTATTAGCTGAGCCATATAAAATTCCCTTTTTTATAGGCCAAAAATAAGAAGTAATTTTATGTGGTTCAATCTAATAGGTAGATTACAAAGATAATTCAAGTTTTCTCAAACCCTCTTTCTTTCAAGAGCAAATCCTTACTGAATACATTAGGAAAATATCTTTCCTGCATTATTTCCTCTGTAAATAGATTCTTCAATGTCATTCATTTCATTTAGATAAAGAAGTTTCTGTCTCTATGACCTATATGGAATTAAACACTGGAGGCAACTGCTCTTTGAGGTACTGTCTATTATTTCTCTTGTTTACATGTCTCTATGCAGGGCTTATTCTATGAGACAGAATTCTTTTTTTTTTAAATTTTATATATTTTTTACATCATTTTTCATTTTTGCACAATGTATGCATTTTCATCTTGGTTATAGTCAGAATTCTAACTCACATTCAAAGCTAAGGTTTCCCCAGGGGATTTTCTCTAATTTCATTTGACATAACAGTAACTACATCTATACCATCTGCCTTACAGCTCCTCTCTTTAGTTTCATCCTCCACTTGGCTCCCTACACATTCTGTCCCTGTCCAACTTCTGGGGAATGTTTCCACAGCAGAGATGAAGAAAAGACAGCAAGGGCAAACCAGAACTTTACTTTCCAGTGAATAAGAGCTACAAACCTGCCAAATATTTTTACCTATCTCTTATTCCAATTCATCCAAAGATTTCTGATATAAACCAATCATCTCTAAATCAGTCCTTTGTTGTTTAGAAATCAGCACATGCACAAATCACTACTGAAGTTTTTTTTCTAGCTATTCCTGAATAGTTATTTATATAGTTATTCCTCTTCAAAATTTCCTTAGCTATGAAAAAAAAATCAACACAAATTATACTGGTGATTTCTTTTAAATGGCAAAAAAATGGATGTAAACTATGTTTAATAACATTTTGTGTGCAACTACTATTATTGTATTTAAAATATGCCAATCAACTTTCATAAAAATTCAACATTTAACAGGAAATTCTGTTTCATTTTTTTTAATAATCATTAGTTCAAAAAGATATTGATTTAAGAAAAATTTCAACCCTTACTAATCAAATGATTCCTCTATTTTCTGGAACAAACTTATAACCCACATGAAACTCAGAATGTAAAGTTCTTGTCTGACCCTATTTATATAGCGTTTATCAGTAACAGTTGCCATTTAAATCATTACAGTCTCCAATGTAACTGTCTTTGGTAGTTTGCTATGGCTTTAAATGCTAACGGATTGTTTCAAAATGTCATTCCTCTTCTACTGAACTGAAAATCCTGTATTATTATCTCTTCTTCATTGTGTGAGAGTCTAAAACTTCCTTGCATTACACAATACATAAACACCTGGTGATAATAAGTTGTCTCTAGAAAAAGAAAAATCTCTTAGTTTAAGAGCTATTATTTTGAATTACTGAAAATTTATGATACTTCACTCCTTGGAACATTTTAGAACTCAGTTTTCAGAAATACATATATTTCACATATTCACATAAAATTTGGGAACAAAAGAATGCACTCTAAAAGAATACATTGTCTTTTTATAGTTTTATAAAGGAAAAACACTTCAGGATAGAAAGTGCAAGCAAGACATTTCAAAGACAAATATTCTCTTGGGTGCAGGACTGGCAGTTTTTGAGCTCTCACCTGCTGCATTTCTTACTCATTATAGGATAATCTTAATAGCACTTGCCTCTTCAGCTCAGTCCCAAGCATAGGGTTAAAAAAAAAAAAAGTGGTAAGAAAACATCTTTCCTTTTTGTTCAAATACAAATGTACTTTTCAAACACAGTTGGACTTTACTGAAGCAAACCCTGTGTCTGAAAATCTAGCAAGTTATAAGCTGATGCCGCCTTCAAAAATGCATCTGTTTGTGTTTCATTTAGGTAGTTTTAAAGAGTAAGTTTTTCTAGTGTACCAAAGTGTGATTGGAATTAGACTACTGAAAGACTACTGAAGGACAAAGCAAGATCACCTACCAGCTCTTTCCACACTTTTCCCTTCAGCTACATCCAACCTGAGATCCATTCACTTTCAAAGTGTCACACAGTTTCCAACAGACAATCATCCATTTGACTGCACACTCATAATCAAGATTCAAATCAGTTGGCTACAAGAGGAACTCTTTGAACAAACACTCTGTTCCATGAGCTAGGGCTTCTGGCTTTTCCAGGTCACAAATCCCTTAGAGATGCTATTATAAAATGAAACAAACTTACTGTTTTCTTTAATACTTTGAGAGCATAAGGCTTCTGGGTCCCCTTCTGTTTGCATCTGTACACAATGGATGTAGCACCCCTTGAGGGGGAAAAGACAAAAAGAAAATATTATGCTGTGAACATAATATAAAGGGAAACGTTTGAAAATAAAGTATCTCTTGCAGTTACCCTCATAACTGACAGTGTTTGTAAGTTCTACTATAAAATCAGCTCAATATTCAAGAATATGTATTTTCTTTCACAATGAATATAGCTTAGTGAGAAAAATGGAAGGTTTTCCAGTTTGCTATTTCCCACCAGCCCCATCTATACAAGTAATATATCTGGGGCTGTTGCATTCAGTAAACTCTGTAGTTAAGCAGGTCCTTAGGTTAACATAACTATCAGAGGATAGCTATGCAATTTCAGAATCTTTGAGTTCTTCCAAAGTATGTGTCTAAGGAGGGGGCTTAATTTCAACATATGAATATGAGTCAAAATAGTCTCATTTGACAAGGGAACTGGCACCTTTGAGAATTTGCCTTTTTGGTAAACTGACATTTGCCCAGAGCTAACATTAGCCCCACAGGGATTCTAATTCTTGTATTGGCCAATGAATATGCCAACCACCTACCTCCTAATGCATGCCCTAAAAATAATAGTTTATGACATGTTCATATATATATGCATATATGCAAATTAACCTTTTTTTAAAAAGATTTATTAGTGTATACAAGAACCAGGGTGCAGGCTAGAGGTATGGGGGGATGAGAGATTCGTCAGAGACATAGCAGGGAACAGAACAGGCAGACTGACTGAAATACACTGTTGAGGAGAACAGCGGGCAAGACAGGAGAGGTCCACTGCACCATGTGGGTATCTCCCTAGCTGGGGATCGAACTTGTGCTTCAGTGGCTGTGGACTGCTTCAGAGGTTGCATCTTAACCACTTGTGCCACCAAGGAGGCTCTAAATTAACCTTTTTTTTTAAAGTATGTATGAGTATGTAGATCTATGCCTTTGTAAAGAATATGGAGAAGTACGGAAAATTTATCACCTCTAAAGGAATATAGTAAGAAGGAATTCAGTTAACTGTTATCACATATGGGCAAGATTACAAAAAAAGGGAGCTTCAGATAAATCTTTTTTTTTTAATTTATTTTATTTATGCATACAAGAACTGGGATACAGGCCAGAGATGCGGTGGGTAAGAGGATTCACCAGAGACAGAGTGGGGAGCAGAACAGGGGTATCTACAGAAAAACACTGCTGAGGGGAGCAGCAGGTGAGACAGGAGAGGTCTGCTGCACCATGTGGGTTAGCTCCCTGGCTGGGGATTGAACTCACGCTGCAGATAGCTTCCTAGTGCTGAGACTTAAACCCTTATGCCATCAGGAGGCCCTTGAGATCATTCTTAAAAAAAAAAAAAAAAAAAAAAAACCTGACGTATATCTGTATATCTGTCAGCCTTTGAAGACTGAACAAAGTAATTTCAATGCATTTTTTAAAGCTATGGAGGGATGTGGGGATGTGTCACATGGTCTATAAGTGAAATAAAGCAAGACAAAGAAAATTCAACTTGCCTTATTTTAAGTTTCTCTAAAATATAATTATCTAAAGTGAAAATATTAACAATGCATTGTGTACAACCAAAAGATAACACAAAGAATAGAGGGAAAATAGGAAAATACAGGTAAATGTTTATACTACATGCTGAATAACATGATATTTAAGGTAGATTTCAATTAACTAAAGATGTAATTGTAATCAAGGACAGCTAATAAAGTAATGTTAAAAGAAAATTAATAATAAACCATCAATGGACCTAAAATGGAATAATCAAAAGTTAGACACAAGGGAAAACAATAAAATTGAAAAATAACACAGCTTTGGATTGTTTGTGGACTTTAATCACATTAATAATTACATTAAGTGTGTATCTTATAAATATACCAATTAAAAATAAAGATAATCAGATTCAATTAAAATGCCAAACTGGATACCATGTACAAAAAATCTACTAAATATAAGTAGACTAAAAATAAAATTATAGAAAAGGAATTCTATGCAAATACTAATCAAAAGAAAGTGGAAATAGCTATATTATCAGATCTAGTAGACATTGGAACAAGAATAAAGATGGACATTACTTAATTTATGATAGAGTCAATTCCCCCCAAATGACAGAATAAATAGCAACAGGTTTGCATCCAACAACAGTGCTTCAAATTTGATAAAGCAAAAATTGATGGACTGAAAAAAGAAATAAATAAATCCATAAATACAGTTGGAGAATTCACACTTTTTTAGCAATTGATATACAAAGTAGACAAGTTACCACTAAAGATACAGAAGACATTAAGAACATTGTCAACTAAATTAAACTAATTCACATGTAGAGAAAAAGCCACACACAAAAAGCCAAAAACACTCTCTTCAAAATTAGAGGACTCACATAATTGATTTCTGGACATTCTATGAACAGTAATCAAGAGAGTGGTAGTAGAGAAATAATAAACATGGAAACAAGTGGAAATGAAAAAAAGATTTCAGAAATAGTCCTACACATATTTGCCAAATGGTTTCTGACAAAGATAAAAAGTAAATTCAGTGGAGAAAGGAGTTTTTCCAACTGAAAATAACAGTGAAACAACTGCTTATTCTTGTGCAAAAAATAAAATGAAAAAAGAATCTTGATCCATATCTCACACTTTATATAAAAAAATTACTCAAAATGGATCAATGTAAACATTTTTTAAAAACATGGAAGAAAACTGTGTAACTTTTAGTTAAGCAATGATTTATTACATTAAAAAAATGAAAGCACAATGAATGAAAGGACAAATACATTTAAATTAAATTCATTTAAATTAAATTAAAATATTTATTCTCTAAAAGCTACAGAGAAATACATTTACAAATCACATATTTGATAAAGGATTTGTATCTAAATTATAAAGAACTTCAAACTTCAATAATAAGGAAACGAAAATGCATTTTAAAAATGTGCAAAATCGCATGTGAAACTTAGAAAACGTTATAACTTAATGTTACTGTAAACAAATAATTTTAAAATGGGCAAAATATGTAAACATATATTTTACCAGAATAATTAAACTGATGTCAAATAAGCCAAAGGAAATATATGCACCATCATTAATCATTAGGGAGTTAAAACCACAAAGAGATATAACTGCGTACTCATTAAGATAGAGAAAAAGACAATACCATGGCTCACAAGGATGCAGAACAACAGAACATCTATTTACTAGAGGGAATGCAAAAAGGCATAGGCACTTTGGAAAACAGCTTTGCATATCATATGACATATTCATCTCACTCTTATGTATGTAACCAACTGAGACTGAAAACTATGTTCCTGCACAAACTTGAATAAGAATCTTTACAACAGCTTATTAATAATCGTCAAAATCTGCAATAACTCCAATATTCCTCATCTGTGACCTACCCATATGTGAAATATTAATCAAAAAGAAAAAGAAGGATTGAATTAGAGTGCACAAAACTTGCATGATTCTCATATAATATCCTAAGTGACAGAAGCTAGGTTCAAAAGGCAAAGATAGGGACAGAAAATAGATCAGTGGTTATCAGAAGTATGCATGGGATGGGGGGTTGACTCCAAAGGGGTATTAGAGGATTTTTTTTAACATAATACAACAGTTCCATATCTTGATTGTGGTAGTGTCACACACCTGTAAACATTTTTCAAAATAGAACTGTTGGGCCTCCCCTGGTGGTGGTTGAGTGCTTGGCTGCGAAGCTGCCCGCAGCCTCTGCAGTGCCGGTTCGATCCCCAGCAGTTGGTGAGGGTCGCACATGGCGTGACAGACCTCTCCTGCCGCTCCCGCCACTCCCCTTAGCAGTGTGTTTTGTCAGTCTACCTGTTCTGTTCTCTGCTCTGGCTCTGGTGAATTCCCTCATCCTCCCGCGCTTCTGACTGTGCCCAATGCTTGTACAAATAAATAAATAAATAAATCTTAAAAAAAAAATAGCCAGAACTGTACAATAGGTGAAATTTACTGTATGTAAGTTATACTTTAATAAAAATGCAGTGAAAAAAAATCTTTCCAAGAAAATCATATTGTTCAAAGATTAAAAGACCACACTGCCAAAATATTGCTTATAGCACTCTGTTTTCAATCCTCTAATGCTCTGTTTTCATTTCACAGTAACTTGTGAAATTTAAAAGAAAAGGGAGATATAAGGTGATTTGCAAACATCAGTGATTTGCAAACATCAAAGAACACTAGAAGGCTAATTTTAAGTGTTACACCCATTGAAAAATTAATATTACTCAACAATGTGTGTAAAAAAGCATATTAAATGGTATCTATTCCTTAATTTCTATATCACATGAAATTATCAGTAATTTCAATATGTAAATAGTCTCAGCAAACTCTCCTGAAAGCATTTTATCAAAATATAATCTTGGCTGTTCACCTCAGGACAGAAGGATGCCAGAAACATATTTTTATGTTTCATTTTCTTTATTTAGTGTATGAAGAATTCATTCAGGAAGTCAAGTTTTATTTTGCTAAGGAATGGACCTATAAATATTAACAGGTCTATAGAACTTCTTCTGCTTTATTGAAATATAACTGACATAAAATATAGTGTATGGTTAAAGAATATAGTGTAATGGCATGATACATGTATATATTACAAAATGATCAACATAATAAGGCGAGTTAACACATCTACCACTTACATAGTTAAAACTTTCTAAAATCTAAAAAGATTAAAAGAAAATGGCCCAAATAAAAACATATGAAAAAATATTTCAGCAACTTCTCAAAAATACAATCTATAGTTGTAACATTAAATGACTGACTTAAATGTAATATCATTTTAGAAAGGAGCCCTATTTTCAGGGTATTTACATAAAAATGAAAAACATTTTGACACAGAGCAAATTAATGATTATTTTTTAAGACAGAAAGACCATTTCAATATAGTGCTGTATCCTCATTTCAAAGCACATTATAAGAATAATCTAAAAATTTCATGAGATACAAAGGAAGAAGAAAATTATAGATTAGAGTATATTTTATATATATATATATATATATGGAGTTAT